TGTGTGTGTGTGTGTGTGTGTGTGTGTGTGTGTGTGTGTGTGTGTGTGTGTGTGTGTGTGCCGTAGGTAGCAATCCTTCTTTCATGCACATTTCTTTGAATACGACAGACAAGGTGCTTTTATTTAGTTTTTATACAATTTCTCATGCGATCTAATATTTTTTTTTTTTTTTTTTTGTTTCCGGATGATAAATTATATAAAAACAGTCCGAATGTTCTTTTTATCGGAGCGCTTTCGGCTATACATTTAGACATTTTCAAGGATTAAATATTTTAACTGTTAAATAAGAAATAGTTTGTTGCATGTATGTTTTATAAAATGTTGTGTCCATATTCAAAGTCAATATTATTAAGTGTTGATATTTTTGTTTTTATCAATAAGACTTCCATTATTTTTAGCCTTTTTTTGCATGTAGATATTAGTGTTGTCGACAAGTATGTTAAGAATAGTGTCCGATAGGTCTCCATGAATATTTAAATGAGATCTAATTGAGCTATGGTCAGAAAGGTGTAATAAAGGTGAGTGTGTCGTATTCAATGAAATATGCATAAATATATATATATATATATATATATATATATATATATATATATATATATATATATTAAAGAAAAATCAGACCACTTTAAGTTACTATTATAATAATTTATTTCACCAGAGTACTTTTAAAGGACGCCGGATCATCAGAAAGTGCTATCTGATGATAATTTTTGGAAGTGCTATCTGATTATCCGGCGTCCTTTAAAAGGACTCTGCTGAAATAAATTATTATAATGGAACTAAAGTGGTCTGTTTTTCTTTAAAATATTAGCTCTGGATTTACATTGAGCTCTCAGATTTCATCCTCCTTAGGATTACTCATACGGATAAACAAGTTCTTCATAACTTAACTATATATATATATATATATATATATATATATATATATATATATATATATATATATATATATATGTGTGTGTGTGTGTGTGTGTGTGTGTGTGTGTGTGTGTGTGTGTGTGTGTGTGTGTGTGTGTGTGTGTATAAAATTTAATATAAAAATATTAATATTAATTGTGCTCTGTCTTTTGACATAGAGCTCTCCTTGGATCTATATCCTCTTGGAAATTCCATACGGATTACCATAATGTATCATTACTATATATATATATATGTATGTGTGTGTGTGTGTGTGTGTGTGTGTGTGTGTGTGTGTGTGTGTGTGTGTAAAGCATAATATTATATATATAATATATGAGAAGCCAGTTTTGGGGTTTTTTTTTAAGTGAACAGGTTGTTAGCCTATTGCATCCCCCCATCAGGGGGTGTGCAATAGCCTATCTGGAGGATCAGTTTTTGATCAGGTTTTGAATTCAGAGTTGTCCTTCTAGACTAGTTGCCACTCAGTCCTGCTATTTAGCTGGGGAGAGGATTCTTACTTTTCCCAAGGGTATTAGCACGTAACTGAATGTAATAGATTCGACTGGAATTCGAACTCGGCTCTCCGATTCCTCAATCCGAGCCGCTATCCATTCAGTCACGTATGTTCCATGCGTGATACACGCTTAGGCGATCATGTATCTTTCGATAAATGACTGATGAGGCAGATTTTTTCTCGCAATAGGTTGCCATTTCTTTCTGCAGTAGACCAGTTGCCATCCAAGGCTATAGAACCCGGTCTGTGCTGCTATTTACCCATAGCTGCGGGGGGAAAAGAAGAGGATTCACACCTTTACCAAGGGTATTAGCACGTAAGTGTATGCAATGGATTCGACACGAAAAGTCAGTTATGTGCCGTGCGTGATACACGCTTAGGCAATCATGTATCTTTCGTTACATGACTGACCTGGCAGATTTTTTTCCCGCAGTAGGTTGCTATTTCTTTCTGCGGTAAACCAGCTGCCATCCAAGGCTATAGAACCCGGTCTGTGCTGCTATTTACCCATAGCAAGGGGAGAGAAGAAGTGGATTCATACCTTTCCTAAGGTATTAGCACGTAAGTAAATGTAATGGATTCGACTGGAATTCGACCTCGGCTCTCCGATTCCTCAATCTGAGGCTCTATCCATTAGGCTATTAATATTCAGGGAGATTTTTGGGGTTTTTTCTGACCAATATATTTTTGTCATTTCTTTTTTTTATTTTTTTGGGAGGGGGGGGGAGTTTTTGTTTTCATGTTATTTGCTTTATTGTTGTTTCTTATCCCATTGTTTCGATCTCTGTAATCTCTACCATCCAGCACTTGGTAAACACCCATGATATTTGACTGAATTTATTTATCAGCTCCACAGTGGAATATCAGAGTTTCTAGGTTTTGTTTTATTTTTTATGAGTACCTTCATTCAGTCCCCGCTCTTCAAATGCTATGTTTTTTCAGAACATATCTGATAGTGGCTCTCCACAGCTTCTTACTGTATCGGACCTGTAAACAGAGTTACCTCCCTTAGATCAAAAACGAGGAAAGAAAAAAGAAACATCATAGATTTAGCAGTTAATTCTAAATTAATTATAACGCAGCGCG